CGCGACCGACCCATCACTACTCTGGAACAGGGTAAATCTGGATTCATCAGACCTATCATTCAAAAGTTTTTTCCGACCACATTTCTTTCTCAAAGATGATAGTTCACCATTATCCCTCCAGGTTTTAATAATGCGATCCAATTTTGATTGTCAGCCCCACCCTGAATATTTTCACCTGTGTCTTGTTATCCTCCCCCTCACCTGTGTAGTTTCTTTGTTTTATTGTGAGTTAGTCTTTTGTCACCTGTGAAATGTTTTCGCTCTTGTTTTCTCCTTGTAAGGACTACCGCTCAGATTATGGATTTTCTTTCTGTTTTAGAATACTGCCTCATCATCTTGTAAGTTTATGTTCCTTTTAGTTTATTAAATTATCTGGACTCACACCCCATCACGTCTGATTTACATCTGGGTCCAAATCCTTGTGTTTACAAAACTCTGTGTCAAGGATGACGAAGACATGGCACCATACTATTAGACTCTAGCCTCTACGAGACAGGATGGTCTGAAGCTAGCTGGTTAGCGCGTTGACTTCAGTAGATATATCTGCAACACAATATATAGCCATTTCTAACGTCAAAACTGTTATTCGTACATATTGCACCTTTTAAAGGTCCAGTGTGTAGGATTGATTGGCATCTTGCGGTGTAGTTGCAGATTGCAACTCCCTAGCATTACCCTCCCCTTCCAAGCCTGTAGGAGAAACTCTGGTGGCTGCGAAATGTACAAAAGGCCCTATCTAGAGCCAGTGTTTGATTTGTCTGTTATAGAAACATGGCAGCCTCCATGGAATGTCGACCCGCGGCCACTGGAACTTTTAAATTAAGTATGTAAAGAATCAAAATGGCTCCACAGCAGCCACAACAAAAATGTGAATTGGAAGCAATTCTTACTGTAAAGTTTGTCAGCATGACTAAACTGCTGTTGATTCAACTTTATATCTTAAGTTTATTGAATCTTAAGTTTATATCTTTTTATTCTTTATTCTTTTCTTCTTCTTTTCTTTTTTATTTACTGGACTATTTTCACCTGCGGATTAATCCACATTTGGTGCTTTAGTGAGTATTTACAGCAGCAGGACAGGATATGTGGGCTTGCAATCTGTGTGTCTTCGTGTTAATGAAGGAGCATGTCACCCAGTGACTCATTGATGGGTTTTAATAGTTTTTGGGCAACAATGGAGCTCTTAAGGCACAGAGGAAGCAGATATCAGGCACACATGCACATGCACCTGAGAACAATACAATCAATTTGTTGACAATCAGAAAAATATACAATATCACAACACAAGCAATATAAAGTGTAATTTTTCAATGCTGTGAGAACCACTAATTAAATTCCATATACGGTATGTATACAAAAGGATTATTGTAATTTACAATGCAAGGTTGTAGAATAAAATTCAGATGGTTATCTTTATGCTACTTTTAAAAAAACAAACACTGTACCACTTCCCAGAGTGCAGCAGGGTGAACAGGCTGTGGCTGGGTGGGTGCTGTCTTTAGTATCCTTTGGGCTCTGCAGTCATCTCACCTCACCAATATCACTGATGCTGGGCAGCTGAGTACCAGTGTTGTTCTGGGTTTTAATCCCCCGCTGCAGAGTCCTCCTGCCCTGGGCCGTGCAGTTTCCGGTCAGGAAGGTTTCTATCGCTCCTCTATAAAAGTTAATTTTTTGAAAAATATATTTTGTCATATTTGCTGAAACTTTCACTATATCCTGTCAGTAGTACATGAGATGGATAATCTGTGAAAAAAACAGGTTCCTCTGGCTTGTTTTAGCGCTCCTGATGTCAGTTGCAAGAATCCACTGAGACTGAACGAAAACAGCCAATCACAGCTGAATACTACTGTCAAGATTTTACATATTTTACGGCTGTAGTTGTTTATGGTTAAGCTACTTTCTGTTAAATATACTATTGGTTAGTTTTGGCCTTGGTGCCCTTTATAAATGTGTTTTAATCAAAGCCAAAGTGGCTTTGCCCTAAAAATGACTTAATTCAAGCCCTGATATTGTCATACCCCCACAATGTTATCAATAAAATACACCTTAGAATTCTACCAAAGTCATAACTTAAAAGATGTATCTTCATTGTGTGTTTGTGTTGTGTTTGTACTGCAGCCAGGCTTTTACAAACACATTTTGAACTAAAACTGCATGAAACAACACATCAGCATTGAAACCATATGTCTTGCACCAACAAATCTCACATGTTTACTGCCCAGTAGGGGCTTATCATGTGTTTGAAAAAAGATGAAACTGTTGTACCAGAGAGAAATATCACTTCAACGCTCCTTGTTGATGGATTTGTACACACACAACCTGCTGCCTGTGTAATCAGAGATGCTGTAAAGCTCTAATTCAATCTGCCCTCTCGCCCTCAGAAGGATGAAGGACCACATACAGTCTGTGATTAAATGACCACCCACACAGACGGGCAGACAGACACACAGACAGACACAGATAGCCAGGCATGTAAGAAACATTGCTTAAAGCTGCAGTAGGTAACTTTTATAAAAAATATCCTGACAGTTATACATATGACAGATAATCTGTGAAAAAAGCAGGTTCCTCTGGCTCCTCCTAGTGCTCCTAATAGTATTTGCAAGAATCCACCGGGCCTGAACAAAAACAACCAATCAGAGCCAATCAGGATAGAAAGACGCTTTTCGGTTGATGGCTTTAAGATAGTTGTTTTGCAGGCATCAATATTTGACGACCAGAATGAGACCCAACAATCAACTCTCTTTCTCATCTCTGATTGGCTGTCCACTGTTTTAAACATGTCCGGATTTAACATCTGTGGATGTCAGATTATCGATCAGTCTGTCACTAGAGTAGACATATGATCAGTAATTAGAACAAACTATTTCATGTTAGCTAAAAATGTATGAGTTATGTTGTGTACCAGCACTTTGTATGAACTGTATTTACACCTACCTAAGATTTGCACACTATGTGCCAGACTACCTCCAGATGTGGTCAAGCAGATCCAATCACATTCCGATCTCGCATTAACATGCATGTTTCCTTATCTGGATTGGATGACATCTCCGGATATAGATCGCATTTTAATACCAGGTGTAAAAGAGTTGTTAGTTGTGTGGAAGAAAAATGACTACCAAGAAATCTGTTTTGAAAAATAGTTTTCATTTACAGTTAATTATTAGCTATTACCCCTTTATTTTATAGCTTATCCAATGCTAGCCATGGCTATGTCACCAGCTATCTTTCATTTCCATTGTGTAATATGGAGCTATTATTATAACACAACATTTGCAAGTGTAAGGATATTTGTACGCATGTGGACAAATCTGTAAATGTGTGGACAAATCTGGAAGTGCAGACTTAGAAAAAAGTTGAAGCATTTGCTCAAAGAGCTGGAAGACAAATCATTGGACTTTTTACACGTGACTTTTGCTACACTTCTACTGTGGCAGATCTGTAAATGCGTGTACAGTCTACAGTCCACCAGTCGGCGGTAGAGAGACATTGCTGCCCTCTCTTCCTTGTTTAACCTACTTTTCTGTAGGAAAATAGCAATATGGGGCACTTAAATGACTTAATTTACTGTTTATCAAACCAAAAATGAGTCAAGAATTAAGTTGGAAAATCTGGTTTTCCCTCTGATGTCATCCGGCTGCTCTCGCCTCTCTGTGATTTGTTTACTGGTGGACAGATAGCATTAGCTTTATTGTTACTAAAGTATGCAGCTAGCTAGTTAGCTGTAGCTGGGTACTGGAGCTAGCTGAGCTCAGTGTAAATACAGTCGACCTGGGGCCGATGGAGACCAGTCTGACGACAGGGAAGCCAAGTGGTTTTCTTGCTGGGTTTGTCTCCTGGCACGCCGGAGTTGACCCCACCCTAAGCCCCACTCAGACCTCTCAGGGCGCCGACCCCTGACCTCCCTTTCACTTCCCTCAGCTTCACATCTCTCCTCCCCCCCCTGCCTGAACATTTCCGTCATCCCAAGAGCCTCTGCACTGTACTTAAACTGCCTCCATCGGTACACGTTCATTTTCCAAACTACCGTACATTACTTATGACCTCAGAGCACAGACAAATCTCTGTATTTCCAGCTCTCTGAGCAAATACTTCATACTTCACACTCATTAATATGTATGTCTGCACTTACAGATTTGTCCACACGTGTACAAATTTGATTTGTCCATTTGCTTGAAATTTGAATACAGATTTGTAGATTTTTTTTACACATTTACAAATCTGATATCTGATTACGCACACACAGATTCTAAACACACATTTGCAGATTCCTGTACATATTCACAAATCTCAGTACATATTACAGGTTATTTTACACATTCACAGATCTGATTACGCACACACAGATTGAGATACAGTTTCAACTTTCCACACACATTTGTAAATAGTTTTGCTACAATAATAGCTCCATAAATGGTAATGGTAAATAGACCTGTACTTGTATAGCGCCTTTCTAGTCTTCCGACCACTCAAAGCCCTTTCACACACATTCACACAGCGATGGCAAAGTCCAT